CCCCAAAACCCCAAAACCCCAAAACCCCAAAACCCCAAAACCCCAAAACCCCAAGTAGTCTGATTGCTGTTGAAAACAGTCGCCATGTGTTTAATAAAAGCTGTGCATAATGAACTATTTTTTCAGCAATGTGTCCAATTAGATGAGCCTATCTTAAGCATGAACGAGTAGTACTTCCAGAACCTGAGTAATAGTCAGTCCTGACTCAGTGAGCCAATGCTTGAAGACGTCTAAGCTAGAGTTTGGGATTATCCTCTGCTTCTTTTCCTCGTTTTATGAGATTTAAGCCTCATTTTTATTAAAATGTGCACCATTTCCTTTGGATTGAATGAGTTAACATAAAATGTAACATTTAGCCCACATGTGTGGGAAGATAAGGGTTGAAAGAACTCTTCGAGCAAGGCAAGGCTCTTCAATACACATTTTATTGACTCAAGCTGGTATATCCACTCTCAACTTTGGTCTTTGCAGCCTATCGCGCATCCTGAGTTAGGCTGCTGATTTATGTGAGGAGAGTTAAAGATGGAGGTGAGATAACTATTCAGCCATTTCTCTGAACCTCTGCAATTAAAAGTCTAGTGACTCAATTTAGAGACTGAAATACTTGTTTCCAGTCAGCTTAGTTTATCAGGCTGTTCATGGGCCGCCTCAATGAGATAAGCTCCTCTTTTTAGGCTGCATGTGAACTGAGCACATGCTACTAGGCTTGGCTTAACAACGAGGAGGATGCTCAGTTGAATCCTTTCGAGTAGCTCATTAAGTTAAAGAAGCAGTATCATGATATTTATAGGAACTTATACCTCATTATGAAGTTAATGAACATTATTTCTGGTTATTGTCTACTTTGGTCTCGTCTGATGTTGATTCATATTTTTGTGCTATTAAAATAATGCAAGTCGTTATGATTCCAGTCAGATTCAAAGATAGAGGAGCTAAGTCGATGCTGATTACCAATTGAATGCAAGCTTTGGACAACTAAGTAGACGAACTAATGATCTATTATAGCAATTAGAGAAAACGTGAGCGGAACTAGCTCCTCTTCGATGCCTATGTTCTAAGGCGCTTGCTAAATCACATTAAGGATGATTTTGGAATTTCTACAATTAACTTTTGTTCTGAAATAATTTTGCCTGCTCAATTATAGGTTTCTCAGAGCCATGCTTTAGAAAGCAGATAGAATACTGAGATAATACAAATTTGGACTCCATGGTTGCTACATTTCAGATCCCTCAAGATGCAACAGTCAGAAATATTAGAAGTCCTTAAAATTGCATAAAACTTAACCAAGTTCAGTGAGGAATCGGCCATCTAGGATATCGGCTAATTCGTTCCAGAAAGGAGTAGAGACCAGTCTAAACTTCTCATGAGACTCTTTAAGGGGGTCGTACTACAGAAGCTGGCCTCATTAGCATATAGAAGAAGAAACAACCTGTGAATTTGGTCTTAAAGCCTGCAAGTTTCTTGGGCTTAGTATGTTCATGACCATAATTTATGTGCGAATACTGATAAATAAGAGCCTAAATTGCCTGGTAAAGAATTGAGGTATAAAATGTGGATACATGCCATCGCGATCATATTCAGAGCTATCTTCTAGCTGTAAAATAATTTCCGGAGTACCTCTCTAGGCTTAGTAATGGGCGGTAAGAATCACAGTGGGTAGCCTTCTTCCAGGTATTGCCAAGGTGGCAGACTTATCGATGAGTAGCTATCTCAAAAATATGCTGAGTGTGAAATTTCAGGTTCCTAGCAAAATCGAACGTTTTGCTAGTTTTTAATAAATTAGTATCTAAAATGATAATGGCTAAGATGCTAAATTAAGTTATAAAAGCTTCTGTCTAGCAGTTGATTCTCAGTTTTCAGTGGTAAGCAATGTGGGAGTCAAGCAAAGATACTTCATTATGAACTATGAGAACATTTCTGAACGCCTGAAGTATTAAGTCAGTTAATCTATAAACCAAAAATTAGTACACCTTAATGAAATCGATGCTAAATCTAAGTCTAAAGCTATGTCAGGAGCCAGGATAAGTTATTTAAATTATCAGGGTCTTCATCTAAATACGATGAGGGCATCATCATGCCTCCCAGATTTAAAAATAGCAACTCAAACGTACTATCCGATCTCCCAATTTGATCAAGAATTTATTCTGTTTTTTTTATTGAGAAAGTTTTAAGCTTAATTGTTCTAGCAAGGGCTGACTCACAGGTCTGGCTGAACCTTAATCACCTGCTTGAGACAAGTCCTCTCTGAGATATGAAGTCTGTGGGCAGTCACAGTTGTCTAAGAAGTACTCGCACAGGACCCTGAGACTTGTTGAATGTAGAGCCTTTTGGATTTTATCGTGGGAAAAACTCCTTAAGCATTCCAAAAAGTTGGCAACTTCAGATTTCAGACTGTCCGAACAGTCAAGGTCTGTCGGTTTCTTGAGCCCAATCATTCCGATTGTAAATGTGATTAGTCGATCGGTGATTAGAGCTTCAGAGATCCTCCCTTGCAATGTAGCTCTAACTTTGGGTAACACTTCGTGGATCCTACAGTTGATGAATCGCCTGGCAACTATTCTTGAGTGATCTTGCTTGAACAAGTTTTTATAAAACTTTCTAAGCAAGCGAAGAATGAACTTGTACTCAATATCTTTCCTTCTCTTATGTGGTCTTAGACTTCATTGACCAGAAGAGCCCATCCCAGGCGAAGAGCTTTTAGGCTTTGGGATTCTCCTGCTGTTTTGTTGTGGAGCAGGGATTTCTGGAATAATATTTCTCCCAGTTGCTTTGAAGGTCCCTTGTGAGTCACCTTGTTGCATACAAGTAAGATTGCTGTCTACTGAATCAGTGTTTTGGATAGTCTCATGAGGATAGATTAAATAATTTTGGCAATATCCAAAACAGCTCCAGTCTAATTCGAATTCAACGTTGCTCTATAAACAGGTTAGTGACATTGAAGTTAGACTAGCTTGAGGAGAGTTGCTAAGATATACTCCTCAGAGATAAACCAATTTCAAACTCAGTCGAGTGTACTATTGTTGGTAAACTCTTTCAAGAGATCCTTACCTTGGTAGTACAACTTCGCAGGACTGCAGTGAAGACATTGTCCGGGTGGAGGGTGCCTAGCCCACCTCTGAAAACCTCTGAACTGAAGTCTTGGTAGATATTACACTGTTTTGTATTTTTAGAAAACATTTATAATAAATTCAACTGGGAGACATATATTGGGGTTTTGGGGTTTTGGGGTTTTGGGGTTTTGGGGTTTTGGGGTTTTGGGG